CAGTTTTGACTGCTGCACTTCTGATCCAGCTCCCTGCTAACGGCCTGCAAAATGCAGTGGAAGTAGCCCAAATGCTTGGGCCTCTGCCACCCACGGGGGAAACGTCTGGCTGCTGGCGCTGGCCTGGTCCAGGCCTAGTCACGGTGACCATGGACTGAACCAGTGGGTGGGGATCACTGTCTGTTTCCCATTCTCTCTGCAACTCTTCCAAATAAACAAAATAAAAGTCCCAACACAGTGCCTGGCACATACACCTGGCATTTCGGCCGGTGTCGGTTCTCAGAGCCTACCGTCTGCCAGAATTCAGCAACAGGAACTGGGCGGGGTAGGTGACCTAGAAGGGGACAGCAGGGTTGAAGTTTGAGCCAGCTCCCCAGCATCCCACCCCTCCGCCCTGGCCTTTCCCAGAGCCCCCACACAAGCTTCACACTCAAGAGGCCATGGGCAGAAGAATTCACATTTATTGGTTCAAATACAGTACCTAAAACTTGCTAAACATGCATTTCACACTAATTGGTCACATTTCCACAGGTAGTCAATTCACAGAACAGGGCCCAGCCCCTGCCAGCTGGCAAGGGCGGGAGGTAGCAGAGGGCCTGGGTGGCCTGCCAACTAATATTGGATCAAGCAGGACTGATGGAGCCAGGCTGGCAGGTAGCCCTTGGCCGGCCCTTTGGGAACAAGGGCTCAGCAACATCCCATTCATTCAATTCCTGCATGAGACTGCGGGTGCAGGTGGACTTCGGGGGCATAGCCCAAGGACAGGCTTGTCGATATGTGTGCCACCAGTGTCCCTAAAGGTGGCGCTCCCTATGCCTTGAACACAGGAAGGGAATGGAGGCCTTTCCAAGGGGGTGGCTGGTTCCTGGTTGGGCAGGCGGGAAGGGCTCCCCAGACAGGGCCCAGACATTACAATGCAGCCACAAGCCCCTATCACAGGCCTGGGATGGCAACACAGACAAAAACACCAACATCCCAGGGCAGGCAGGGTTTCTTTCCCGACAGAAACATGTAAACAGAGCAGGAGCTACGATATTCTTTTTTTCCCACATGATTCCTCAGAGGGGAATCAACCAGGATGTCACTCAAGAGGTAGTTTGGCTTTTTTTTTTTCTTTTTTTCTCCATGGAAATTTGAGTCAACAACATTATCACCTATTACAAGACATTTCAGAGAAAGAAAACAGTGGTCCCCAAAGGGCAAAGGCAACCCTCTGGCTGGCAGGCCTGGCCCCAGGATTTGGAAGGCGAACCCTCACCAGTCTCGGGCATGGAGCAGGCTCCGGCCTGATAGCTTCCCTCAGAGCCGACGGAGGATCCCTGAGCAGGCTGTGGCTTGCTGGGGCTACAGGCCCAGGAGAGGGAGGCCACTGGGGACTTGGCTACACAGGACCAACTAGGCTTCCTGTAAGCTGACAGAGGAAGGGCCACTGCAGCTCACACCACAGCAGAGCCCAGATCTGGCTCCCAAGTCCAGAAAACAAGATGTAGTTCGAGGTAGCCGAGAGGGGGAGGGGGCTTCTGGGGACCCTGTAATTAAATACACATCCCTGAGCTGTGGCCCCAGAAACCCTTGCCTCAAGGCTAGCCAGCTTCCAGCACCTAGTGGAATGATTGCTGTTTCTCATCCTGAGACACAGAGAAAACATTTCACAGACACTGGACACAGATGCTTCAAGCAGAGGTAAGGAGGACGACCAACCGCAAAGCCGGGGGCGGCGGGGGGGGGAACTCTTACTGGTCAAGGAAGGGAGGTCAGAGTAGTGGGGTTTCTTTTTTTCTTTCGTTTTTTAGTTTCTCACTTTTTTTCCCCTTACTTTAAAAATCAAAAATGAAAAGCTCAAAAGAGGAGTGGTCTGAATGATTGGATCTCTTAAACAATTGCAAACATTTCAAAAGTAACAAGGAAAAAAGACACAGATTAGGCGGGAGCTAAAGACTTGGAACTGCTGCTCATCAGCTTCCTGCCCTGCTGGGAGGCCATGGTCCCCTGACGTGGGTCAATTCTGGACATGGACATGGACATGGCTTAGAGCCTGCCCTCCCTGGAACACACACACTCTCTCTCTCCATATGTCCCATTACCCAGGCTATCATGAACAGGTAAGCAAAGCTAGAACGGTGGAGCAAGGCCATCGCTCAGAGAGAACAAGGTCCTAAGGCTCCAGCAACAGTGATGGGCAGACAGGCAGGTGTGCAGTGTGAGCTGCGGGGATGCCATGGAGACCCTCAGTTCTGTCCTTGCTCTGGCTCTGGGGAACAGGGCAAGGAGGTTCCTGTGAGCTTCCTGCCAGCCCTGCGGGCTTATCCACCTCCCCGGTGGGCTGGGCGTGAGGGCCAGTGTCCTCTGAGCCACAGGTCCTGGGGAATCTCTCCAGAATAAGGGGCAAGAACATTACACTTTGCAAAGAATTCTAAGGGAACTGAGAGCATGGATTACAGATGATATACCTGGATTCCAAATTTTGTCTTGGGTCTCAAGCAAGAGGGAAAGCTTGCAGGTTTCAGTGTAGTGCAAAGAAGTGGGATGTACCTTTCTCACCCAGCTTTTGGGATCCTGTTTTTATGGTGGGAAAAGTCTCACTCAGTGAGTGCTTTTGGTGGTTGGGCACAGAGAGAGCAGAAGAGAAAGGAATCAGACATGACACACACACACAAACTTTTCTTCCACTAGCAAAAAGGCTGCCTGTTATCCAAACATCACGGGAAGAAAGGCAAAAAACAAACCTACCAAACCTCCCTCGCCAACCTTTCTCTGTGTCCTTCAAACCAAATTCACAAATACATCTAGTGGCTGACCTAATGTCTCCACACTGCTAGCTACACTCCTACCTTTTCCTCATAATACCTGAGTTTGCAATGCAACACATTCACTTTACCCTGTTTAAAAAAAGCCCACGTCATAAAAGGACTGGGAGCAGAAGACATTAGAGGCGGTCCACAGGTCAGGCTCTGGCTCGGCACACACAGCCACTTGGCTTCGCAATTCTGCAGGGCTCCCAGCAATGAATGGGCTCTTTGTTCTGTGGAATCTGCTGCAAACATTTGTAAAAATGGATTCATACAATGGCAAGTTACAGAACCTTTCCCTCACTCCAAAAATTAACAATTTGCTCTGTTTAATATGACAGTATTGGAGGGATGTTCTTGCCTCATCACGGAGCAATTTCCTTTGACACCCACCACAAGGGGCAACATGCTTCATTTGAAAACACTTTTCCAGAAATCATGCAACAGATGGAGGCGTAAGCCCATAAAGGTGCCACATGCAGCAGTTTTCTTGGAGGGGTGGGGTCTCTGATTGGCGCCTCCTGGCATCTTGAGGAACACAGCTCAGAATCTGACCTGGGGCCAAGGAATGTGATCTGGTTGGTTAAATAAGAGATTCAAACAAGAAAAAGACACTGTGAACTTACATACACACACACCCACACACACAGCTTTCCACTGACATGTGAAAAACATGCTAGGTGGAGCTTTTCCTGAGAAACATAGCTTTTCTTTTCTTTTTTTTTTTCCTTTTTCTTTTTTTGCTGTCTTCCCCAGAGCGATGGTGAGAACAGCACTGAGGATAATGCTCTGGGTTTTAGATCTATTAGGGAATAAAAATCACCACTCCGTGGGTACCCGTAACATTTCACTTAAAACAAACAAACATTTACAGTCAGACACAGACTACCCAGTAGGTACACAATGCGGCAGTTCCCCGGGGCAGGTTTAAAAGGCAGAATTGGGGAGAGAGCAAATAGCCTTTGACTAAACAGGCAGGAGGAGGTGCTGTGGGCTCCTCAAGCAGCATTGAGCTATCCCAGCTACGTGGTCTTTCTGCTATGTAGGCTGTGGGAGATACCTGGATAAAGCAGCAGCAACTGCTGCATTAAGGCAGAGAAGGAAGAAGCACCTGAACAAGAGCCGAGACTCAGCGTGGCCCTGGCCAAAGTTGAGAGGGTCAAGCATACTTCCCAGGACCAGGTGGGGCAGGCAGACAGAGCAGCAGAGGCGCAGTCCGGCTCTGCAGGAGCAGCAGCCAGGCCCTGCAGGAACACGAGGTAGTGTAAAGCTCCCCTTCCCTTCCAGGTGTTTTTGGCTCCAGCCCTCCCAGACTCGGTCAGCCAGGCCGCTGATACTGTCACGGGCAGCTGGGCCACTGTGTCCTTGGGTTGTCAGCTCTATGTCCTGAGGAAACCTGGTTTCATTTTGGAGAGATTAGGAAAAACCAAAGTAGAATTCAGAGGCAAAATTCTGGTCTGCAGATGGTAAATGGTCCTTCCTACTATTAAAAGAGATACTTTATGGATTCAGTCCTGAGAGGAAAGCAGTATTAACTCTTTCAGCAGTCTGGCCTTTATCCCACTTCTCTGAAGAAAGCACGTGAAAGGAGAATAAATCAACAGCTGGTACTAAGATTCAGAACACAGCATTTGCTTAATTTTTTAAAGGGCCAACAGAAGTCAAATTTCTGACAGAAGAGCGCCCGAGCAAGGTAGGACTCAGCAATCCACAGAAGGCAGTCAGGTGGCTGTGCATCCCATGGCAGCTGAGGGGCAAGGCCTGTGGCCTGACTCATGGCTAGTTCTTTGCCAGGATGAAAACCTGACAGTGGCAGAAATGGGCAGTGGTGGCAGCAGGGGAGAAAGGAGTCACCCTGCTCTCCTCTCCTCACTCTCATGCTTTCCAAAGAAAAGAGATGGTTCCATCCCCATTGGCCCGGTTCCTGCAGTCTCCCCCATACTGCCTGGTAAACTGCCTGACACTGTACCCCCTTTTCTGGCATGACCGTTTACCTGGCAATTCTATGACTAGAAAAAGCAGTCTGCTCTCCGACAGACAAATGAGTCTGCTGAGAAAATGTGGAAAAGTGGGGCTGATCACCCCCATTTCCCTTGAGGTAGTTGTCTTTATCAACACTTTGGAAAACAGTCATCTAGACTCCATCCCACCCTCTCCCTCAAAGTACAAAAGCTCTGTCTCTAGACGACAACAACACTGTCAACATTAAAGGTCTTCACAGTCTGCCGACTGCAAGGAAATGCATCTGCTGCACTCACACAGAACATGTGCGTCGTGTTGGAGGCCATACATTCAACTCTGTCGTGAAATAAATATATAGAAAAATGAGGCTAAAACAGACACACAAACAAATATTTTTCTTGCCATGGAGGCAACTGGAAACGCTGCTCCACAGCCTTATCTTGGTCTCTGGCTCTTTCTCCCGGAGCTTTGCTGCCCATCCAGTGTGCCACGTCCGGTCTTAGGAGGGCACTGCAACAGGTCACTCCTTGCTCACGCTTGTCTTGCAGGAATGCAGCACCACTTTAAAGAGCAGGGGCAGCTGCTCTAGGGGCACATTCACCATCTTTCCTGGGAAGGAAGGAGAGAGTTGACAGTGACCACACGAGGAGAGGGTCAGCTGGCTTCTTCCAGAGCTGCGAAAGGGAGAGTATCGCCCCTATGAGGACTTAGGGTCAGGGAAGTTCCAGGACCACTCCAAAGGCCCAACAAGTTCTTGATATCCTGACCCATTGTGGTGCCCAACTCAGGCTTCTTCCCATCCCCTTTTTCTTGAACCCAGTCTCATTTTCTAGTTCAGCCTTTGCTGTGGGCATTTGGAAAGAAAGAACAGAGGGGAGAGCTTTCAAACCAAATACACTTTGAAGATGCACAAAAGCTTGTCAGGTAACCGCAGCTGTCCCAGGGCCGAGACTCCAGCTCTACATGGGTGACGTGCCTGTATTTACAGACTCACCTTTATTTCACAGAGCGCTCTGAAAGACTATGATTTGGAAAAATATTTTAAAAGCCTACTAAAATAACCCTAAAATTCCAATAGTCCAAATCACATGTGCTAGACTGCTCTCTTTCCAAGATGGAGAAATTCCCTTGTCACATTGGAAATGTTTTCTTTCAAAAATTGTATTGGTGAATTTCACAATTCAGCAAAACTCGTAAGAAAATGTAACCTGGAGGTCACATTTCTGAGCTCCTCATCAGTTTATGCTGGACAGCTAAAAACGAACATCTCTACATGAAAAGAAAGTAAAGCAGCAGCAACACCAAAAAAAAGTCAGGATTTCATTCTGAAATTGACCCAGTTAAGCGTTCTTCCCCCAAATCTGCATATGGAAAACTACTTTGCAATCACAGGATCCTAGAATAGAAAAATCTCAGAAATTGCATAGGCACAAATGGCCAGAGCTGGTCTAAGCTGAAACCAGGAGCCCAGTGCTCCAGTTGGGTCTCCACATAGGTGGCAGTGCTCCAGTTGGGTCTCCACATAGGTGGCAGGGCCCCAAATCATCAGGTCATCTTTTTTCTGTCTTCCAGGCGTATGAGCAGCAAGTTGAACTCAGAAGCAGAATAGCCAGGACTTGGTGCCGCAGGTGGCAGCTTCAGCCTCAGTGTTATAATACTAGTCCAGTTAATTTTTTATCGAGTTACAATTTACTATCGTAAACTTTACTTTCTTTCAAGGCACACAATTCAGGTAATGAGATACTCTAAGCCAGTTTCCCCATGTGCAGTCTGGCCATAATGTCACCAATCACCAATCCTGCAGAGACTGCTCTGAGACTAAATAATCTAAGGGTATAAAGCACCATGCACATTCTAGTGGTTCAGGAAACACTAGCTTCTCTGTTCTATAAAGAAAGTAGACTTCCCGTGAGGACGGAACTTTCCTGAGCACAGAGTGGTAATTCTGGGGACTGGCAGTGTGGGTTGAGCCACTGCTTGGGACGCCTCCGTCTCCTATCAGAGTGCCAGTAGGTTCACCCTAGGAGGTGGCGGGTGTCCTCAGGTCCCTATCTCCCACATGGAGGACCCAGATGCAGTTCCTGGACTCAGCATTTCCCAGCTTTTGTAGACACATGGGAAGAGAAGCAGCAGAGGCAAGACCTGTCTTTGTTGCACAGCTTTTCCAATAAGTAGAAACAAGTTATCATCATGAAGAGAAGTGTCTCTCCCATGTAGCTGGTAATAGGTCTGGACTAAGTGTTCTGGAAACACTGTCTTATTTCTAAGAAAAGTCAGAGAGGGTTGGAAGCTGGAGACCCGGAATATTACCTGCAATATAGCGAATCTCAGGTAAGCACATCATGAGATCTGGGAAACGATTCGGCTGGTGTGTGTACTTATACTCAGTGAAATCCTGGCAAATGTACCAGTATCGTTTGTTCAACTGCTCCAGCTGTGAGGCGCTGGTCAGACCTCTGATATCTGTGGGGGAAAAAACATACATAGGGAATGGGAGGGGCTTTCTCATGCGGAAAAACACTAGCTCCTTAAACATGTGCATCTTTCAATTAACAGTTATTCAATATTGTCAGAAAATATTTTCTCCTTTTCTACATAGGGGAATTAAGTTCTGGGTTAGGGAGATGGCACAAAACACTGGGACAGTCACTGCACAGAGCTCCTGGAGGTCTTCAACTCCACACGAAGCTCACACCATGGGCCTTGGCACAAAACAGGCACTGCCAAGTGTTCAACCTTTCCAAATCCATCCTTCCCAACATCTTGAACTTTTCTGTTACACCCAATCAGAATACACCTCAATGACACAATCATCTCTTCTGGGTTTCTACCCTCCTTGTTATTTCCTGTGACTTCTTCCTATCTAACTGTACATTACTAACAGACTATAACCCTGTTCTCTACATGAGGCTTACCCGGCCTCTGAGGCCCGGCTCAGATTTCTCCTTCTCTCAGAAACAGCTACCGATTCCCCCCTTCTGAGGTACAATTAATGTCAAGGGCCATTAATGCGTACATTTTTTGAGACCAGGGATTAAACCTGGGGTCCTTCCCCTGCCCCCAATTTCTTAAATGCTGAATACAGGGTTTGGCCTAAGGGAAACATGCAGAAGCAGGAACAGATCTGGCCAGTGTTTGGGGAGAGTGGGCAGAGAGGGGGCAAGGGTATCTGGACCCAGGAAGTACTCACAGGAAGAAAGGGCGTATTTTGAATGCTTCGGGCAGCACAGCGGCCCAGTGTCACTACTTTGGGAAAGGAAAGAGGAATTCTCTTTGATTTACTGGTTATCAGCAGTCACGAAGTGCCACTCTGCAGGTAACACTCCAGAAAAAGCACACCTGCTTCTCTTCTAAATAAAAGCCACCCCGATCTGCAGGGTGTCGGTGAGTTTTGGCACACAGCCACTCTTCTCAGAACCACTGGCAACCTGTCACAGAGGCCTTATCTCGAATAGTGTCATCAGTCGCTCGGCTCTTCTTCAGTCACTGGTAAACTCTGTACATGTTTAAATGACGCACATACTGTCCTTGATGTCTGTATTTAAATGCATCAAAACTGACTAAACAAAGTGAAACCTCTTCCTTCCTCTGTGAATTATAGAGATTGTGGCATTTAGGCTTGAAGGGGAAAAAATATCCAAAGCATTCCCTGCACTCTGAAGGGGCAGGGTGATAATGGTAAGTGAAGGCAGAGCACGGGCTGCCAAGGTTGGCAAGTACTCGCGGTGGCAGGGTCAGCTGGGGAGACATGCTGCCAGCCCTGGGCCTAGCCCCAGCCACTCACCTTGATTGAGGAAGTTAATTGCTTTCATGCAAGCATACTCCTCGTTGCTGACCTTTAGCTGATGGAACTTGTGATACAGGTAGATGAGCCGCTCGATCACCTCCATTCCTTCGTCACTAAATCTGGAGAGAAGACCAGGGTGTGAATAATGGGCTCTGACACCAGTGGAAACCAAGACATGGTGGATGAGACATCCCACAACTCCCTGAGGCATCTGTGAAGGGAATGGGGTCCTTCTGCTTGAAGGTCAGGCAGACACGTGGCTTGTCTAAGAGGCCGCCATGGCTCTCCATGAGCTGCTCTTCCCAGGGTCCTGCCAACCAAACCTCTTCAAATCTAGGCCTGTCACCCCAAAGCTGTGAGGCTTGGATAAGGTCATTTGACCCTACTTAAGCTTTAGGCTTCTCCTTTGTAAAAAACAAACACAAAACAAAGTAAAAAAGACCCCAATAATGCTTGCCTGCTTGTCTAACTAGGCTCTAAGAAGGTTTGGGATACAAATGCAGAGAAGTATGATATTACTAAGATCCTGTCATTGTTGAGACACAGCCTCCAGTGTCAATGGCAGCTGCCATGGTGACTGCCACAACACAGAAAAAACCACCGTGTTTGGATATGCATGGTGAACCATGTTACTGGCACCCCTAACTTCAGCTATGGAGAGGGAGACATCAGCTGCACCCTGTCCGTGCCCCCTCCTTGCTGGGTGCTTCATGTGCACTGTCTCCTCACAGGGACACAGTCATCGCCACTGTAGAGACGAGAAGCTCAGTTCAAAGGAGAGAAGGAACTGGTGTTCTGCTTGCTTATGGAGTAAGAACTTAGAACCTGGGCCAAAGCCCTGGGACCTTGGTTTTCCCAAGGTGACAGTCTGTGAGGTGGGCCTGAAGTTGGTCATGTCCCTTTCTTTTGAGCTGGGACTAGTCTTCTTGGGGAAAGGTCACATTTCCAGCCAAGGAGCTAGGCTACCCCAGAGAACTACTGCTCTGAGAGCATTTCACACCAGAGTCAGGGATACCACTCAACCCAGGAGGGGTTTAGAAAAGCTGGGAGCAGAAGTGTCCTGAGTATTTCTAGGGGTGGGTTAGGCAGTCAGCCAAGGCAGAGTTCCAGAGAGGCCTTGGAAGATGTTTAACCTTGGGGCAGCTTCCTAGCAGGGACGTGTTCAGATGTGGGCCCAAGAAGGGCCTGACTGGGTAGAGTGCACAACACCTGGAACTGCACCTTCAAAGACTTGGCTAAGCATCCGCTTCCGGGGCAAGTGGGCTCTGGCTGAGGTCAGAGGCACCTACACTTCTCAAGCACTAGGGGGCGCTTGAATCAGAGGGCTTCACTTGGCTTCCATACAGTTCCAGCTGGGGCTTCTCTGAGTCCCTTATTTACAAGGCAGAGACAGAGAACTCCCATTCAGTGGTTCACTTCCCAAATGCCAGCAACAGGCAGGGATGGGCCAGGCTGAAGCCAGAGCAGATTGTCTGAGCCATCACTGTGGCCTCCCAGTGTTATCAGGAAGATGGAGTCAGGGGCTGATACTAGCGGCTAAACCCAAGTACTCCAATATAGGAGATGCTTCTCAAAAACATTTTTATTAATTGAAAGGCAGATTTATAGAGAGGAGGGAGAGACAGAGGGAGAGGCAGAGAAAGGGAGAGAGAGAGAGATATTCCCCATCTGCCTACTCACTCCACAAATGGTCCCAACAGCTGCAACTGAGCCAGTTCGAAGCCAGGAGCCTCCTCCACATCTCCAACATAGGCTCAGCAGTCCAAGGACTTGAGCCATCCTCTGCTGCCTTCCCAGGTCATAAGCAGGAAGTTGGATTGGGAAGTGGAGCAGCTGGGGCTAGAACTGGCATCCATTTGGGATCCCGGTGCTGTAGGTGAAGGATCACCCTAACACGCCACGATGCCGGCTTCTCCGTGATGTTCTAACTATGATTTGAGCCACGATGGCTGACTCTGTTTTGACCTGCATGTGTCCCAAAGGCTTTCCACAACTTTACTGATAACCTAGGCTGGTTGATAAACAAATCCATATTGACTAGTAATGCTGATATTCCCTCCCTCTTTCTCTCTCTCTTTCCATTCTCCCACATTGGGGCCAGGTCCCAAAGCTCTGGGCCATTCTCCACTGCTTTCCCAGGGCACAGGCAGGGAGCTGGATAGCAAGTGCAGTAGCTGGGACATATGGGATCCTGGCTCTTGTAAGGGGAAAATTAGCCAACTGAGCCAATGCACTGGTCCCTCTATCTAATATTCTAATGAGTATTTGTTAGCTGCCAGGAACTTTTATTCCACACATATTCTTTCACTGGATGCTCCCAATAAATCCACAAAATACATCTTAAACATAACCTCCTCTGTTCTTGTATAGAAACAAAGTTCTCTCTATTGTGCCCCCTCATGTATCAGGCCGATTCATTTACATCTCGCCCTCCTGATTATCTGTGAAATAAAGAACATCACCTTCAACACACAGATAAGGAAAGAGTAAAGAGGAAATCCTCCAAAGTTTTGTAAGTAGTGGTGGACTCAGGATCCAAAACCAAATGTTTTTATTTCTAGCATGTTCTGGGCATTTTTCACATAACAGTGCCCACTCTCGGACCCTGTTTTGTGGGAAAGGCCATCCCTACCCCCTCAGGAGCTCTGTGTTCCTACTCAATCTGGGGTGCCACTTAGGTGGGTGTGCTCAGTGCCAGGAGCTGCCCTTGCAATGTGTCTGCATTCATGGCGGGCAGCAGGCCTGGGAGTGAAGACCACTCCTCACCATGGCTACTGGTGTTCTTTAGAGGAACACAGATCCCTTCCTGCTTGGAGAGGTCGGGTGGCTATGAGGCTGGGTAAGAATAAATAGGGAGGACACAAGGGGGGGACGCAGAGTCAGCATCTGTCTGGTGGCCGAGAGTGTAACAAGCCAAGATAATACTCGGGCCCTTAATCAGCAACCTCTGCTCCCAGCATGCTCTGGCGCTGCGGAACATGCAGGTGTGTGGCTCTCAGCCAGACCCCGAGCCAGCAGGGCCAGACTTGCTCTGCGTCCTGCCCTAAGGCACACAAAGGCGTTCTCAAGTGCCCAGCCCGAGCAGATGCCCCAGATCGGCCTTTTCTCTTGGGAACAGCACATCATTCTTCTTCTTCTTCTTTTTTAAAAAAGATTTATTTATTTATTTGGATGTCAGAGAGTGAGCGAGAGAGATCGGCTAATCCTCCTTGCCCAGATTTCCAACCTCAGGCCACCACCATGGATCCCTGGCAGTGGTGGGGGCTGGCAGCCAGCCCAGCAGCCCCCACTGGTCTCCACGGCCTGATGACAAAGCTTTCCTCCACACCCCGCATCACAGCCCCTTGATAAACAAAGTTGTTCTCTGTTCTACAGGCCTGCTTTCTCCTGTAAGCATGCCTCCTCCACATCTGCCTGCTCGACAGTTCCGACACCCCTGTATTCTGTCTACAATTTATCAGCATTCAAAGCCAGAAAGCTGGACAAACACATCCATTCTTCTTATAGGTTTCCATTTATACAAGCGTGGTAGGACAAGGAAAACATTCCTGCAGGATCCCCCGAATCACTGAACCATTCAGTTGGCAACTGAAGCTGATACTACATAAGTTATGTCCCATTAAGGGGGCAAGGAGAGGCCTGGTTGTTTTTTTTCATTCATCTATATGCCTCAACTCCCAGCAGCGGTCATCAGCTACAACCTCATTTCACTGCCTTCTCAGCACCTCCCATAGACTCCATGAAAAGCCAGACCATAGTTCCAGAATGATTCTACAAGGTCAAACCTTCCGAGGAAGCTCTGGGAGAGTCAGAATTAGTATGGCTAACAGGCGCCAGGGCAGTGGGGCACGATGTTTTCACCTCTGAAGCCGCATGTCCATCATCTCCAGCAGAGAGAAACACTAGCGCCAGTTTCATGGGGTGGCAGCACAGGCTCAACAAAGAACCACACGCAAGGCACCAGGATGCTAACTGCTATTAGAGAACTCTGGCGATCAACAACTGTCATTCCTGATGGCAGCAGCCCTCCCATTGCAGCAGCAAAACAGAACTGTGCTGCCAGGGTCGACAGGGAAGCCAGGAGGCAAGTGTCCAGAGATCTGGATCAGCGGAGTTAGTGCCCACAGACCAGAGCGCCATTAGTGTCTGTGTGGCGTAGTGCCTCTCCTGAGAATGAAGGAGTCTTGATAAGGGGAAGGAGCAGTCACGGGCTGGTGCTATAATCTGCTTTAAATCAAATTCACCCAGCTCACTGTCCGATAAGAGTCTGATTAAGGAATACGGGTCCCATAAATTTGAATCAATATTTGAGAAGAGAAAAGGAGGTGGCCATGTATCATGCGAGAAAGGCCTTTTCCTGACAGCAGGAAACCACTTGCACTCAGAGTTGTGAACAGGGAAGGAGGCTGGGGGAGTGGGAGTAACGCAGCAGCAGCAGCAGCAGCAGGCAGGGCCGCAAAGAGCTACGGCCAATTACAGGCTGCACACCCTGCGGCTCCAGCAGAGCAGACGCTACGTGGCGGCCAGCAGCATGATGCACAGCTTCTCACATTTGCAAGTCTGGGCCCCCAGGGCTCTCCCGGCACCTCAGACCCCACACTGCATTCCGAGCAGCTCAGCATCACCTCCTTCCAGCTCAAGGGAACCACTCGTCACCCCTAGTTTTTCTACTTCCATAAGTTTCACCGTGTCTCCTTAGCTGGGGGCTGCCCTTTCCGTTCCAGTTACGGCTATCTCATGCTTTGCTTCCTTTTCACTTGGATTATGGAAGAGCCTCCTACCCAGTCATAGCACTCGGTGCCACTGTCCGTGCCAATCCATTAGGAGCTTCTCAGTCACAGATATATTTCTAAATGCAACCTAATTCCTCCAACACAACACTGCATACATAGGAAGATGAAAAGTCCTGAGACTGGGGTTTGAGCACACAAACATCTTCATGGTCTCATGGTCTATCTCATCACACCTTCTTCTCTCAAGTCACCCCCCCCCCCCACGTCTCTGTCTTAGACACATTCTCTTTAGACTCGAATCCACAGGACTGCTTTGGTTCTCTGCACACTGCAACTACTCTCTAAGCTTCTAGAACACTGTGTTACTTTCATGCCTTCCTCTGTAATATGCTTAAAAATTCCCACTTCAAGGTGCAGTTCAAATGTCTGTTCCTGGGCCTGGCAGCGTGGCCTAGTGGCTAAAGTCCTCGCCTTGAACTTGCCAGGATCCCATATGGGCGCCAGTTCTAATCCCGGCAGCTCCGCTTCCATCCAGCTCCCTGCTTGTGGCCTGGGAAAGCAGTTGAGAGCGGCCCAAAGCTTTGGGACCCTGCACCCGCGTGCGCGACCCAGAAGAGGTTCCTGGTTCCCGGCTTCAGATCGGCGCAGCATCGGCTGTTGCGCTCACTTGGGGAGTGAATCACCAGACAGAAGATCTTCCTCTCTGTCTCTCTCCTCTCTGTATATCTGACTTTGTAATAACCCCAGCATTCTTCCCAGAAGCACACACAAGGTTGTTCAGTAAGTGGCCACAGCGTCCTAACTACTAGGTTGAAGTTTTACTTGCGTGTTTCCATTGACTGAACCCATATTAGAGTGAGTGTCCTAACAATAGTCCCATCTCTTATCTCAGAACCTAGCCGAGAGGTTAGCAGGTAACATGTTCTAGTCAGTAATGCCTACTACACAACTTTCTATGATGATGAAAACATGCCATTTTTGCATTCTCCAATGTAGAAGCCACTGGTTACAGGAAGCAACTAGACACTTAACAGGCACCAGTGCACATGAAGAATTTTAAAGGCCACCTGAGACCAGCAGTTCCTACAACGGACAATGTAGCTTTAGATTCTCCTTGGTGAAGAGCCTTCCTGAAAAGCTTCCTCACAAATGCAGCTGTTATGGACTCAATATTTGTCCTAGGGCTCAAGGGATCAACTCAGGAGGGTAGAGTACCTTAGGGAGCCCACAGTGCTTTTTTTTTTTTTATAAGATTTATTCATTTTCATTGGAAAGGCGGATATACAGAGAGGAAGAGAGACAGAGAGGAAGATCCTCCATCAGATGATTCACTCCCCAAGCAGGTGCAATGGTTGAAGCTGAGCCAATCCAAAGCCAGGAGCCAGGAGTTTCCTCCAGGCCTCCCACGCGGGTGCAGGGTCCCAAAGCCCTGGGTTGTCCTTGACTGCATTCCCAGGCCATAGGCAGGGAGCTGGATGGGAAGCAGGGATGCCAGGATTAGAATCGGCACCCATATGGAATCCCAGCATGCTCAAGGTGAGGACCCTAACTGCTATGCTATTGTGCTAGGCCCAGGAGCTCAGTTCTTACAAGGAGCCTCCCATGGTCAGCAATCCCTGCCTGCTTGTGAGGGCCCAAGCAGGCCGTCCTTCTGCAGAGTGTGGAGCCTACAGCTCATTCCACAGGCAGCCCGAGGATGTAGTGTTGGACAGTAGGTAAACAGGGAGCCTGGGATCTCCGGGCTAGCTCTGCAAACTCTGCCAGCATGCAGAGCAAGCTGACTGCTATCCAAACACCTCAGAGTCCTAGGAGTTACAAAGAGGAGACAGGAATTTGGTGGAAACAATGAGTTAGAGGCTCTGGACAAGAGGTTAGGGCACTTGAAAAATCAGATAGCCCTGTTTACAGGACAAAGGGTTGGCTTGGGTCAAAATTCTGTCATTTATAGATTACCCTGAAGACAATGAGCATCATTAATAAGGAAATATTGGAAAATCAGGGGAAGGAGTCAGCACGCAGACTCCTCCTTCTTCAGCTGCGCAGAGGGTCCTTGAAAGGCTTAAGAGTTCTGCTCCTGGTGGGAGTGTGGCCTTGTCTTTATGTGACGGCTGAGAGAGCAGATCCAACCTAGCCTGTGAAGGGACATGTGGGGAGTGGATACTCCGCCTCTTCTACCTCATCCCTGGGAGGACCTCCTTTCATCCTCTCCTCCCAGGTGACCCAGAATCTCTTGACTTCCATCATTTTAAATTACCTAATAAAGCTGAGCTATCAAAACATCTATTTAAGTGTCAATTTAATTTTTGAGACTTCGAAGGACATATTAATAAGCCAAAGCTGTCTCAATATTTATGCTGGTTTAGGAGTCAGAAAACACAGTATCTGTGCACCTCAGGTGTCCAGAGTGAGTGAGCAGAAGGAACATGGACAGGGAGATGATAAGGATGCTAGCCAGAAACTGTGGGGAGGCCAGCACAGGCTCTTGGCACCATCACCCTAGAATCACACTGAATCTCATGAAGAGGGGCAACACAGACATTTAACAGCAAGGCGATTATTAAGCTCAAAGTTGAGCTCTGGGTGCCAATCCAAAACCCTAAAGGGTAGGTCTCTCCGAACTTCCGCTTTCTCAGTTCTAAACTAAGCAGGCTGTGAGAATGAAATAATATATTAAGCTTAGCACCTGGTACCTTTAGGCACTCACAAGGATTCCTAGGTCTTTTCCTGGATCGTAAGCTAGGATTTAGAGCCCTTCTCATGTTGTAGGCAAAGTTTAGAGTTTTGATTTTCTAATATACATCTTATCATGGTAATCCACAGGTTATGAAAACCAACAGTTTCACACTCTGCCAAGCTTCATGGCACAGCATTTACTTCTCAGGCCACCTTGATGGAGGGGCAGGGTTATCAGCCCATTTTCACTACTTGAGGAATGGAAACTGCGCCAAGTCACCAAGCTAGCCACTGGAAAAGGGAGGATTTGAATCCAGGTCTGTGTTGCTCCCTGCCTGTCACCTGTCTTGCAGGGATGACAATGGTTTGATGGCTTTGAACTCCCTCCCCAGCCAGCAGCCCTCACCTGTGTAGTTCTTCATCAGAGGGTGAATACTTGGCAGTGACATCAGCCAGCTCCCCAAAGATCTGCTTGCTGTAAACGGTGAGGGAGGAGAGCAGGATTAGTTCTTGCCACGTGGAACTCAAGAGGCACGTGTAATCCTTGATTGAGAGCTCGCAGAAGAAAGGCAGTTTCTTGATCCAGGCAATCTGCCTAAAGAGCAGCTCGTCAGCCAGGCGGCAGAGCAGGGCAAAGAGCTCTGCTTGGGTCACAGCATATCTGGAAAGGCAAGAACAGGACAAGTCACTGCTTCTGGTAAGAGGGATGGGGGCACAGAGACTGGGAGCTCCTAGGGGCACACATGGTCCCTTGCAATGGGTTCCTTGCACCTGATGGGTCTCCAGTGCTATTCAACTGAATTTTCTGATAAAAGGTCAGGACTGACGGCAACAGCCAGCTATGCCAAGGGTTGGAAGATGGGTTTGGAGAGGAAGACCACAGAGGGAAAATAGGCTTAGAAGGAATTGGTGCAATTATCAGACTTTACTGTTGGTGTCTTCCACTGTTCCAAATCTTACAGAAAATTTTTACTCACTTCTGAAATGAGTGCTTCAGTGGAGGGGGGAACCTTTTTTCTGCAAAGGGTCATTTGGATATTTACACAATAATTTACAATCCTGAATTTTGAATTGTGCTAGCAGTTGCTTTGTCAGGGCCAGATCTATATGGCCCATAGGTTAAACATGCTCCACTCTTGTATTTCAGAAACTCGCACAGTAATGAGTATTGCTTTTCCTGCTCTCACTGCACCCCCTGGTGGTGAGAGTTAAGAAAGCAGAGGGGTGAGTTTATATTCTCAGTTAAAAAGGGTCCCCTAATTGGAGTGCCTTCGGAGGCCGAGGACTCTGAGGTCACCCACCCCCATTTGGATCTATCACATGGGATGGAAGAAGCCCAAATCCTGCCTTGCAGGATCCAAGGTGATCAGAACGACAACCAGGAGTACTGAGCGGTCTGCAGAAGCGAAACAGTAAACTTCCTTCGGGACTAGGGAGAGGAGCTTTCTCTGGTCCTTGCCTGGTTCCGAGTTTGGGTCCCCACCTTCTCTTGTAATGACCATCAGTATCACTCCAGAAACCCCTCAAAACAAACTAACAAAAAAAAAAAAAAAACCTAGAACAGATAGACAGAGAACAACAAGAAGGCTTGGAATCAGACAGGAAATGGTCAGCGGGGATGCACTTATAACTCACTGGGTGGGACACAAAGATTAGTTACTCCTCACTAGGGTATTGAAGATTTCTCTGCACACCCCTCCTAAAACTGTTCACCTAAACTGTTGACATATGTCTTGTTAGAGTTACAGAGTTAGACTACCCAAAAACAGCCAGGTTCAGCAAAATCATGCTTCAATGCTATAAACTGCTAAATACTAAAACTAAAATAGACATGAAACAGCTGAATAGTAATCTATATCCATTTTAAGGGGTGTAGAACTCGGTTGTATATAAACTAATAAGTGAAATGTCAATGTAGAAGTCACAGGATGTGGTTCAGAACTTGCATTCTTTTTTTTTTTCTTCTCTTTTAACATATTGGTTACTTAATACCATGTCAACTAAGTCCATAACTTTATAAATTGTTACTGATGTAATGCCGGGGCTTTTAATTGATCGGGATGATACTCTGCCGGCTCTACCTTCAGACCAGAGATGGTTTCCCCAAGAAACCATTGAACTTATCTGGACAATAAGATGCTGGACTTTATGCTTGATAGATGCTTGCAATGAAAGAATCTCAATTGAATCTGAACTGTGGTAATGCAACAAGGTGGAGGAATCCCAGTGCCTATAACACTGTGTCACATAATGCAATGTAATCAATTAAGAAAAAAAAGAGAGAAAAAAAAAATAAAAAGGGTCCCCTGAGTCCACAGCCTTGGAACCTTCTTCCATAGGAAACCCCACAAAATGCCCACATTAGTAAAGGCTTTGGGTGACCTTCTTATGGGTAGATATTTGAGTCTTCTGAAGTTGGAGACTAGCATAGGAAATCTCAGAGACTTTTTTGTGAGGTCTTAGCTTGATAAACAACCTAGGCTCCAAGCCAAACGAGTAACGGACAGGCCTAAAGGCTAACCTAAGTTATTACCTACTTAGGTTGAGTCAATGGAGATTTAAAAGAGTACCCCAGGAAGAAATATTTAAATATACTAAATACCGCCCCCCCCAAAAGAAAGTATTCCTTCTACTCACTCAAGCCTATCACCCAAGGGGGCAACATTCCATCAGGCTATCTATGGGTCTGATGGCTAAAGATGCGAACAGGTCACAAGTTAGGACCTTTGGTATCTTGTTAAGGAACCTAGACTTGACGTATGACCATGCCCAGAACTGTAGATCATCTGTGGCAAAGAGGCATGAAGACCCATGTCAAGGCCTGGTGTCTGTAAGGCTTAAGCAGAAACAAAAGTAACCCCAACTGTATGAAAAAGAAAGCTTGTGGAACCACTGACTTGTCCTCTGATGCGTGCTTGAGTCACAACATGTTACGCCCCTGACTCATTCCAAGCCTAGGGTACAGTGGCCAGGGACGTGGGTAGGTGTGTGGCAGAACAAGGAGACTGCAAAGGGTCAAACAGGGCAGAGCTCACTTACCCATCTTCAATCAACATGGGTGTGCCCAGTGGCTCCAGGTCCTCAGCTGACACCAGCTGGTGAATCAGACTGTATGACTGCGGATCAAGGCTCCGAGCTTGTGGGGGCAGAAGCGGTGAGTGGCCAGAATAGCTAAAAAGGTGCGGTATGTACTGATAATGTGGCGGTACAGACATCCCCACATACTGCTCTCTGAATGCCATGAATCCATTTAGTTCCACAGACCTACTGGAAAGAAAAGTCTCTAGTCAAGCAGAGTCACAGCAGGTATACCAGAAACAAAGAGGTCAGAGGGCACCTTGGGCGTTCTCTGGCCAGAAGATGTGTACAATAATTACAATATCTCCCCTAATAAACTTCCATCTCTGAGACAAAGACTCTGTGTAAGGGTGTGAATTATGGGACTCACCTCTGGACACCCAATGTCCAACACAGTAATACTGAATCAACAGCAGCCGAAAAAATTCCTTTCTACAGGTGCCACATGCAGAGAATTTTTAATGGTTACTTGTCATTTATGATGACAAGAGGGGTGTCTGTATTATTTTATTGCTAGAAAACTAAGGCATATACAGGTTTAAGTACTTTATCACGTCACAGAGCAAATCTAGCACCTAGCACATGACAGGCAGCAAGACTAAATATTCAAATCTCAGAATAGTCTAAGCAATAGCTGAATGAAATAAAAACTGTATTTAAATATGAACAGGAAAGCAAATTCATCCATTTCCCTCCCTTTCTTGGAGAAATCTACTCCATTAATTCTTAAGACCGACAAGAGAGTCTCCAGTTGTTTTTTTTTTTTTTTATTTTGTTTTTAACCAGAGGTGGCAAAATGCTGTCTGTTTTGGTACATGAGGTTATGGGACTGCAGCCACTCATTGCTTTATAAACTGTATGGCCTTCGTGATAAAGCCAGAGTGGTTAAGGCTCAGATCACAAGGCATGCAAAGACTAAAACAAGAATTGGTATCTACAGAAAAGCCTGTCCACCCCTGTCCTATAAAAGAGGCTTCTGGGGAAGGAAAACCTTCCCTGGTGGGTGATGCTCTATTTCACACCTAACAACTCACTCCTGAGTCAAGAGTCTCCAAATCTGTTTCCTAATAGCAGCACACTTGATTGGCTTAAAAACAACACAGCAACAACAACAACAAACCCTTTTTTTTCCTTTAAATATTCCTAAAGTGAAAAATCGCTGACTCTTATGAGGCAGAGAAATTATAACTTAACTCACTATTGTCATTGTGGTTTGTTTCGCTTGTGATGAAATAAATGAGGGAAAAGGGTTATGTTTAAAATGTTACTCTAACAGGAAAGAATGCATGGATATGGAGAGCGGCTATAGCTCTTTCTCAGTCTGCATGATATCAGGGATATTTTCAAGGTCTTAGCCTTGACACAGTTGGGAAACACAGACCTCTTCTCCCTGAACCTGAGAGCACAAGTACCAAGTGCAAACAGTCTGGGAGTGCCATGTGGCCAGCGGTTCCTGGCGGCTCCCCGCTTCGGTGAGTCCCGCATGGTGGCCCTGGGTTTGCTGCCAGCTCACCTGGAGGACAGTGTGGATCCTGGTGAAGGCTGGTTGCTCTCTGAGGCCCTGTTCCCAGGGGAGCTGTGGTCGCTGTCACCATGGTTGCTCCAGTGATTGGCCTCTTCCTCAAATTCCTGCCCAGACATGATCCTCTCAATCTCTTCTTCGGATATCTGTGATAAGGAATTGACAAGTTAGGTTCGATACTCGGGGCGGATCTTGTTCTTTCGTCAGGCTGAGAGCTTATTTAAGTCCCATGAGGTTCCCAGGATTCTATACAGCAGTTTAGATTCCCTCACCTCCACCCTGACACCTCTGGTCTTATCCTCACCTCAGTACAGCCTGGCTGCTTGGATCTTAGCACCATGGGCCATCATGGCCATTCTCGGGCCTATTTGCCCTGCTCTCAAGTCACAAAGCCTCCACATTCTTCAACAGCGTTCTTGCACCACAATTCCTCAGTGACAATCTCTCCTACTCGACATTCCAAGACCAAATGCAGGTATCACCTCCCTTGTGAAGCTCTCTACCACCCTCTAGACAGAATTTTAACTCCTTCATCTGAATGGCACAGAGTACTAATCTGTACTTCGCAGGATTCCTAGGAGCATTAAATTAGTTAAGATGTACCACTTACCTAGAAAATGCCTGGAACATGGCAATAATTAATGGAAAGGATAAAGTGACACCATCATCACCACTGCTCTTTTTCTTCTTTTTGTTTATCTTTATTTGAAAGATACAGTGATGGCAGTAACAGCCAGGTCTGTGACAGGTTGAAGTCAGGATTATGGGGCTCCACTCAGTTCTCCCACATGGGTGGCAAGGCCCAAGTGCTACAGCCATTTTTCTGCTACCTTCCCAGGGGCATCAGATGGATTGGAAGCAGAGACAGAACTCAAACAGGCACAAGTGGTAGTTTAACCCAATGGGTCACAATGCCAGCCTCAGATTGCTTTTATTGTTATAGCACTAGAAATAATCTCTGTTAAGACCTACATGACAGGATCTATGAGCAAAGTGCCTAAATACTTGTTGAGTGAATAAACAAATGTTCATTTATATAGTACTGACATTGGACCTTCATTAGGACTTTTTTGGTTTTTGTTAGTAAAAAACATTCTTGAATCTATTAAATAAAAGAAGAAACTGAAGCTCACAGATGTTGCTTCCTGTAGCATGGGCATCCCATGTGGGCATCAGTTCAAGTCCCTGCTGCTCTACTTCTGGTGCTGTTAATGCACCTGAGAAAGCAATGGAGGCTGCACAAGTTCTTGGGTCCTTACATCCATATGGAGATCTGGCTCATGAACCAGTGGATGGAAGACGCCTTTGTTTAATTCTGCCTTTCAAATAAATAAATGAAGAAGAAGAAAAGGAGGAGGACAATAAGAAGGAGGAGGAGGAAGATGAGGAGGAGAGGAAGTGGAGAAGAAGAAAGAAAAGGAGAAGCGAACTGACTTTGCCATATCACAATGCAGTCCCATGCCAGGGTGGAGCTTCAGGAAGAGACCCAAACACTTAAGTATTCAGTCCCATACTTTAGCTACTAAACCAAACATGAAGTGAGTAAACCATTTCTACAAAACGCTTAGCTCACAGTTGAGGCTTAACAGGGTAAACTTAACACAGAAGAGTGAGTACTAAAAAGGAGGGGCTGGGGAACTTTCATTTGTTGGTCCTATAAAAACCTGGGAGGATATTTTCTCCCAAGTCTATGTAACTCGAACTCCTCTATTCTTCCTTTGCTACAGCAAGTTGTGAGGTAATCTTGAATTTCCTTAATCATAAAAACAAGTGTGTTGAGGAAGAACTAGAAGCCATCTAGTACACAGAAGCTGGAGCGGAAACAAGAAATATTTAATTGGTGTGTAACTTTGTGTTGTTGGCCAGGAATATCTTGTATTAAATATTAAATTAGGTGTTTGGGGTAGGAGTAATGATGCCAGTTCAGACATTCTCACCCCATACTAATTTTAAGACTCACTCCAGGCCCAGACACCAGCTTCCTGCTAATGCCGCTGGGGAGCAGCAGGGATGTCTTAACCAGATGGCTTCTTGCCACTCCCAAGAGAGACTGGATCTGGCCTGACTTGGCCCTGAATACTGTGGGCATTTAAGGAGTGAAGCAGCAAATAGGAGCTATTTATTTGTGTCTCTCTGCCTTTAAAACATTACTGAGTCCTGAGTAAAGCGGTCTGAAGTTATATTTTTGAAAATGAGACCAATTGCTTTAAGATGATGGAAACACCTGAGCTGGGCCAGAGTCAGCTCACATCACTGTACTGCAGGTACAAGCCAAAATTGTACTGTACCTATCTCTGGCTTTAATTCCAAGTAACACTGGGCAAGCATCGCCGTGTTCAACAGGGAATGGAACATGTTAGGATGGGAGTGCCTAAGCAGGGGTTTAAATTCTGCTTGCTATTTTCGAGCTGGGCACTGTTGGGCAAATCATTCAAGCTCTCCTATTCACTTCTCTTGTAGCTCATGATTCTCCTACATACTGAAGCCAAGTTTGAGTTGGACAGCCTTAGGAGGTTAATTGAAGCTGAAGTTATAAAGTGTAGGGACACAATATGTGCTCAATACACAGAAATAGCATTTTTTGTTTTTATTCAATTAAGAGCCTGTAGATCATAGTTCTGACATATCATTTGTAAACAGACTAGTATAAAAAGGGAAAAAAAAAACCACCGCAGACTAGTATGACACTCCTAATATAAAAAACTACACCGCAGGTAAAACAGGCTTTTCTGAACATCAGACTTTCAATCCTGGAGATGCAAGGAACTGAAGACAGCTGGAATAATAGGAGCATCACAAAGAGTGCTCAAAAAGCTGCAAACACCACTAAGATGGATGGCAGCTTATCCCAATGGATAAACATTCCTTTCAATGAACACATTTTCTTCTGCATCTGAATACAAAAGAAATGAACACAAATAAAAGTCATATATGAAAAACCTGTAGCTATTATAATCACAGGTGAAAACTGAAAGCTTTTTCTCAAAAGTCAGGAACAAGATAAGGATGCATACTCTTATCAGTTCTAAACAGTGTATGAAGGCCTAGGCAGAGCAATTAGGCAAGAAAAAGAAATAAAAGGCATTCAAATTGTAAGGGAAGAGGCTGTGATTGCAGATGACCTGATGCTATATGTAGAAAACTCTATAAAGATTCCAGAAAAACACAGTTAAAGAAATGAATTCAGCAAAACTAAAGCATAAACATATAAAAATCTGTATAAAGTGAATCTGATACATTTTACACTTATGTACTACAATTAAACAATTCAGGAAGAAAATTAAGAAAACAACCTTACTTATAATAACATCACAAAGAATAAAATTCTTAGAAATAAACTTAGAAACACAACCATGTGAAAAACCGCAAAGCACTGCTGAAAGAAACTGCAAAGGAAAGCTAGTGGAAAGACACCCTCATGCTCAAGGACTGGAGGACAATACGATGAAAACACACTTAATACTAAAAGCAACCCAGAGATCCAAGGATTCCTACCAAAACCCCAACACCATCTTTGGCAGAAACAGCAAAGACCATCTTAAAATTCATGTGGAACCTCAACGCATCCCACATGGCCAGCATAACACAGAGAAAGAACAACGAAGCTGGAGGCCTCATACTTTCTCAGAGCCTTCACAAGGTAACAAAGCTGTAACGTCCAAAGCAATGTGTACTGGCATAAGGACAGACATACAGAGCAAACTCACACAGTATAATCAAGTGATCTATGACAAAGTTGCCAGGCTACACAAATGAGAAAATATAGTATTGTCTCTTTAACACAGTGCTGGATACCTACCGCCACAAGCTCCTCTCCCAGCCACTGACAGACAGACTAGACCCTTATCTTAAATCCTACACAAAAATCAACTGAAAGGGATCAAAGACTTAAATATGATTATCAAGTTCCTATAAGAAAACACAAGAAAAAAACCTTCCCATTGCAAGTCTTGGCAATGATTTGTTGGGTAGGACACTAAAATTTCAGACAAAAAGGACACAGTCAAGTGGATTTTTATCAGGCTAAAAAGCTTCTGTGCAGTCAACAGTCAACAGATAAAAAGGCAACTTATGAGATGGATGAGAGGGTTTCGAATCATATACCCAAAAGATATAAAGGATGCCTGTAACTCAATAATAAAACCATGTGGGCAAGAGGCTTAGGCAGACATTTTTCCAAAGACAAGTGATCAGAAGGTATTCAAGAAGATATTTAGTGTCACTAATTAGATAAATGCAAATCAAAATAACCGTAAGATAGTATCTCACATCCATTAGGATGTCCATTAAATAAATAACAAAAACAACAAAATAAACAAGATCAGACAGCAGAAGCGAAGGAATGTGAAACTGTGCACCACTGGTGGGGATGTAAAGTGATACGCCCCAGATGCCTGCAATAGTCAGGGCTGCTTTGGGTGTAATCTGGGAGTTCAGGCTTGGAGCCCATTTACTGGGCCAATATTGCTGCCCCCCAGCATATTAACTAACAGGAAGCTGTAACGGGGGTCCCGAGCTGGGACTCTGGTGTCTTAAATGTTAGGATAGATGATGACCAGCTACTCCTCTAATAATTTTTTTTTTAAATTAATTACTTTATTTGGAAGTCAGAGAGAGGAGGAGATCTTCCAATCACTGCTTTACTTCTCAGACAGCCACAGCAGTTAGAAGGCAGGAGCTGCACCCAGGTCTCCCACGTGCATGGCAGGGACCTCAAACACTCACTTGAGCCATCTTCTGCTGCTTTCCTTGGCCATTAACAGGGAGAGCTAGAGGAGAAGTGGAGCAGCTGGGATAAGAACAGGTTGTTGTCTGGGATGGGACATCAGTGTCAGGTGGAGGCTCTACCCGGAATATCACAATGCCAGCTTCCCAATCATTCTTCAGCTATGCTCCCTGCCCACTGGTGAGTGGAGTCACTGGATGGGTGGGTTGTACAGTTACCGAGTTCTCTGTCCTCATATGGAATTCATCCTCTGCTGCTGAGTAAAAGCAATGAAGAAGACGCTGGCCTTACAAAGGCTTTATATCTACCCTTCAGAGAGGTGATTACAAACGAAGAAATCTGTCACTTGCCACTCTATCGCATATGTCCAAAGCTACAGCCTAAATGGACAAACCCACTGTCACTCTTCAAAAATTCATCCTGGGTGGGGGGAGGCAGTGTTGTGCTACAGCAGGCAAGGCTATTGCTAGGACGCAACCTTTCCATATTGGTTCCAGTTTATATCCCAGCTACTCAACTTCCACTCCAGCTTTCTGTTAACCACCTGAGAAAGCAGCAAATAACGATCCAAGGACGGTCTCCTGCACCTGCAAGAGAGTAGGGATGGAGCTCCTGGCTTTGGCCTGGCCCGGTCCTGGCTGTTGCAGCCATCTGGGGAGTCTCTGGATGGAAGATCTCTCTTTGTAACTCTGACTTCCAAATGAAATAACTAATTAAAAAAAAATTACCGTAGGAGTAGGTGGACATTGTCCTACTCTCTCCCCCTCTCTTCTCTGTAACTCTGACCTTCAAATCGATCTATCAGTCTTTAAGAGAAATTCACCCTTGGGTCTTTTCATTCTGTTGTACCTATCAGAAAGAAAAACTGCCTCCCACATCTTTCCAGCACAGCTAATTCTTTTGTCTCCAGGAATCCTTCTTTGAGGGTCTCCTACCCTCAAGGACAGCTCCAGTTCTTCCCCTGTGCTCTCTGGGCATCCTCCAATATTTCTTATTGTGCTAAGGTATCACCGTCTTCTACTGCACCGAGTTCACAATACAAAGTCTATGGTGCAGGAGTTAGTAGGTGACTGTGGCATTAAACAGGGTATTTACATTCCTACTCCACACACAAGGCAAAGACTCTTCTGCTAAAGCATCTCTGAGTGAAACGAGGATCAGGCTTGCTCACTTCTGCTAGGCTAAGCTACCTTCAGTCTTAGATGATTCACAAGAGTTGCCTAGATGGTTCAGAATCATAACTGAGTTTAATGCTTGAGAAATGCAATGGGATTACAAGAAGAGCTTCACTTATAATCTTAAATTTTCTACACACTTTGACATTCAGGATCAAAATGCCACACAGGACTGAAAGCAAAAATGGCTCCCTGTAGTAGCAGACAAAAGGGAGCAACATGGGCAGTTAGAGAAGCGTCTGGTACCCTATGCTTCCAGGATGAACCCCCAGCGAGAGGCCCAGAACTCACCTGGACTGGCCCAATGCTCTTATTCCGGCCTCCAGGCATTCCATCTTCTCTGATAGCTGGAAGGAAACATGAGTCAAGACAGTCAGCAGCATGCTCATAGAAGTCTAAGCACAAAAATGATATTTACTTGGCCCAAAGCATAGAGTGGCAATTGGTGAATCCCAGACTCAAACAGCCTTTCTGGACTCAAAGCACACTTTGTTACTCTTGGCTACTACATAAACAGCAGATACTTCTTGGATGTGAGGCTCCAGAGAACATTTCCATTTTCAAATAAAATAATTACAGCATATCTAATTTGTAAGATCAGAAGAAAATGTTTTCAGTGCATTAATCAAACCTCTAAAAATCTTTTAAAAACATTTGAAGGCCTGGTACAGTAGCCTACCAGCCAAAGTCCTCACCTTGCATGTGCCAGGATCCCATACGGGTGCTGGTTCTAATCCTGGCAACCCTTCTTCTTGTCCAGAGATATTTCAACTGAGGAGCCTGGGTACAAGAAGCAATGAAAGGCAGCACTGCAGTGGCATAGCTAGATAATCTTCCACGTGCAGTACCACTATGTCCCAGCTGCTCCATTTGCCACCCAGCTCCCTGCTTCTGGCCTTGGAAAGCAGTGGAAGGAGCTCAAGTCCCTGGGTCCCTATACCCACATGGGAGACCCCAAAGCTCCAGATTTCTGGCTTCAGATCAGCTCAGCTCATTCTGGCCACTTGGGGACATCACTCTCTTGCTCGCTCTCTCTCTGTGTAAATCTATCTTTCATATATAAATAAATGAAAACTTAAAAGAAAAAGGGAACAATATATGTCGTCATTTTTGAAAAAGCTTTTGTAATAGACGTTGGAGAAGGTAGTTTGTGGGGTGAAGGGAGCCACAAGGGGTAGCAAGTCTGCTGCAAAGGACAAGAGCTGGACTGGCTGCCTCACAAGGGCAGGTTTCTGTAGTAACTGAAAAGCTGACGAGAAGTTGGTTTTCCTTAGACATCTTTTTGACATCCTCAAAAGATACACACTTTGAGCTCCGACAAGGTTGGGCCCGAGCCCTGTTTTTGCTAGGTGTACACAACTCCAGTCAAGCTACTTCACCACTCTCAAGCTCGGCTAACTACAAAGAGAGGATACTGGTTCTTGTCTTCTGGGTTATCCTATCATGTAACACAAAGCTAGAATTACCCACACAGGCCTTGGCATTTAAACAAGGCACTCTGAAACAAATCCTTCCTGCTCTCTTGCCTCTTATCTCTGCATAAAAGAATTTTAAAAAGCCAAGGTTTTATGCTCAACTTTGCTAAAACACTAATATCCTCATCTGCAAAATGAACACAAATTCATCTGCTTCCCACAGCTGCTTTGAATTTGGAGTGAGGAAACACACAGCCTGTGTTAAATAGTTAAATACATGCTGATCTTTGTCTAGGAGCACTTCGTCAACCTCATCTCAAGTTCTGGCAGTCCTCAAAGCTCTTTCTATGATGTTCCAGGGACTAGTGAGATGGTCTTTAGATACATCCACTTTCAATGTTGGCATTGAACATGTCTGCTCCAGCTAACAGGTACAGAGCACACACTGGTCCACTGGCAGAGAGGACACTGAACTGGATGTCCTCCAGCTAGTATTTTACTCTCACTGTCCTGGAAGTGAGGAAAAATTATTACCTGCTTTATTGGTTTGTTTGAAGGACCGTATGTCTTAAAGATCTGCATCATGTGAACTGGTTCTGAAATTTAAAAGCCCATGTTCTACCTGAACCCTTCTCTGCACAAAGACATTCACACGCAGCAGACATGGACTCTGTCTCAGCTCCTGCTATCTTGGTAAAGTAACTCACGAGCAAAGTATCACCACTGTCCAAATTAACGGATAACTCGGGATGAATGTAAGGCTCAGGGAAATGCCCTGCTTTAAGGAAACAGAGTCTGAACAGCAGAATAAAGGTTCGAACCCAGAATCATATTTTCTGCACAGCCTCCAGTCCACTACTAGTATTTTCCATTGTATGTATCCCATTGTGGAAGGATAAGGTATCTTTGGTGCACAAATTCTTTTTTTGAAAGATTATGACTCATTTTAAAAGCTTATTTATCGTGAAGGCATACTGATACACAAACACAGACATAGAACCCCTCCCCCCAACACACACACTGAAAAGAAGAGAGAGGCACAGAGAGGGACAGGAGGGACAGCGAGGGACAGGAGGGACAGCGAGGGAAAGGGGGGAAACTCTGACCTGCTGGTTATCCCGAGAGCTGGGACTAGGCCAGGCCAACCCCCAGTCACGTGGACGGCAGGGATACAAGTACCTGAGCCATTGCCTGCTACCCACCAAGGTACAAGCCAGCAGGAAACTGGATTGGAAATGCAGGCAGGCCTCAAATCCAGGCATGAATTGGGTGGGGGGCCGTAGGCAACACTTCAACTTTGCACCATGAAACTAATCCCCTAAACTATTAATTATACACTAAAGTGTTTTATACAGATTTTCCACTCACTGAAATGGCAAAAAAATTCCCTTTGACTTAGACAACAAGGTAAATAACAGTACTGTTCTAATAAGGGAAAGTATAATATGTCAAGAAGGTATGAAACTCAAGTTTGGAAAACAATACAATGTGTCATAGTTCTTGGAATGTATTTTAAAACTTACAATGCATTTGCACATTTCACTCATCAGATACACACATTTCAAGGTACACATTATCTCAAGCATTTTACAGCTGAGGAAATAAAGCTCAAAGAGTTAAAGATTTGTTGCTAAAGGTTATTCAGGGAAAAATGCCAGAACTGGGATTTCAATTTGGGTCTTCTAAGGCTGAACTTGTTCCTTAATGCTACACTGAGCTAAGAGCTCGGTTTCCTAGTACTGCTAAGGTTTTTTCTGGCAGTGATCTAGCAAGGACAACAAATGAGTTCTGAGTACAGTATTACAGGAATGGTTTTGCTGAACTTCTTCTCTAAGCCTGAGACAATGGCACAGGCCAGCAGTCCTCTCTGCTCAGAAGTCGTGCAAACAACGTGTTACTCTGGAGCTCACGTACCTACTATTCCTCACATGCTTGGGCTTGGGCAGCCAACCAACCCCAAGGCAGCAGACAAAGCTAACGACATGGAAGGCCAGACCCAAACCTGGCAGTGGCTTCCTGCGGCCCACAAGCTAAGTCGAAGTTCACCAGAACTTGGTATTCAAGACTCCAGGATCTGGGTCCTGTGGGATTTTCCCACACTCAAGTGCTGTCAGGGATATTACACCTAGCCAGGGAACATGTGTGATGCTTTATATAATTTTCATGCTGTCTCTATTTAAACTTCACAGTGTAAAAAAATCCAATAATATCACCTCATACCAGTGATTCAGGTTAACATGATCATTAATGGGACAAAATTACATCACATTCTCTTGACAACGTACCGAGGACACATCATGATTGTCAAAAAGGCATAGCCTAAACTTGTGCAGAAATTGGTAAGCCCAATTGAGAGACAGACAAACAGACAACAGTTATGAAAGAAAAGCTTAGGAACCTTTTTGTAATGTCAGGAGACACCACAGACACATAAAACCCAACGTAACATGTGCTTCTGCGGTAACTCAGACATCGGGATGACTGGAGAAAGCTGAGTGAATCTGGTAACTGGGTAACAGCAGTGTGCCATCACAAGTCTCCTCCTTCATGTCACACGTAAAGGGGAGAGGCAGAACATACACTCCAAGGGAGAAGCTAAAGAGAGGAAGAAGGAGAAAGCAGACAAAAATAAAAGCAAATGGGCCTTAGTGGATAAAGCCCTCGCCTTGTACTCTCCAGGATTCCATATGGGTGCCGGTTCTAACCCCAGCTGTTCCACATTTAAAAAAAGATTTATTTATTTTTATTACAAAGTCAGATATACAGAGAGGAGGAGAGAGAGAGAGGAAGATCTTCCATCCGAAGATTCATTCCCCAAGTGACCACAACGGCCGGTGCTGTGCCGATCCAAAGCCAGGAGCCAGGAACTTCTTCTAGGTCTCCCACATGGGTGCAGGGTCCCAATGCTTTGGGCCGTCCTGGACTGCTTTCCCAGGCCACAAGCAGGGAGCCGGATGGGAAGTGGAGCTACCGGGATTAGAACCAGTGCCCATATGGGATCCCAGCGCGTTCAAGGCAAGGACTTCAGCTGCTAGTCCACCACGCTGGGCCCTAAAAAGAAATAAATCTTAAAAAAAAAAATAGTAGTTATTTTGTTGCTTGAGATATTCAAACTTTGGCCACCGAAAATGTATCCAGTTTGGCTGAGTCATCTTTTGATACGCTTTCTTCATTTTTTCCTTTTGATAAGTCCTTCTCAATGTCCTGTCAGCACAAGACATGCCAGGCCGTCGTCTCCCTGGACGTGCCCTGCCAACACGTAGTGCTGCAAGGAGCCCTGACTTACTTAACTGAGAGGCTGAGACCAGGGTACTAGGCATGGCCATTGCTACTGCTCCATCACTGCCTTCCAGCTGCTCGTAGTGCACAAAGCTCATAACCTCCACGGCCCCGAAACCTACCTGCCCACCCATCCATGAACCCATACTAACGCCACTGACTGTAATCTGTCCCCAGAGGCTTCGTTCCAGCCTGCTTCTTTGTGGGTTTCAAACTTCTTTGATGTGAAAATCATCACTCTCATTATAATATATTTTACTTAGTTGTTTAATCTTAGTACACAAATAATAATAGAATTCCTGACAGATAACCTTGAGAGAAACAAATTTTAACCAACTAGAGTGCTTTGTTTGTATATAATTCTTTTTGTCTTTAGCCTACAGCATACAATTCAAATAGTTTGCCAAGGTCAGCTCCAACTCTCCCTCATCCCCTACTTTGTGATTCATCTGTAGTATTATCAGCACACCTGCCCTCTACCTGCTCCCCGTCACTCATACCCACCACATTCTGCTCAATGTTTTTAAACTCCAAGCAGGGGGAGGCTGGGTGTGCTGCAGTGAGCCGACACATCACTTGGGATGCACCCACATTCCAGAGCAAAGCGCCCCCACTTCCACTTCACAAACAGCTCCCGGCAGCCAGCAGATGACAGTTCAAGTGCTTGGGTTCCCACCACCCGTGTGGGATACATGGATGGGGTTCCCAGATCTTGGCTCTGCTTGTCTGGGTATTTTGGAAAAGAACCAGCAGATGGAAGAATCATCTCTTTTCTCTCTGCATTCTAAATAAACAACCTTTAAAATTTTACATGCAGGGGACGGCTCAATTGGCTAACCTTCCACCAGGAAGCGTTGGGATCCTATTTGGGCGCTGGTTCATGTCTCATCCACTCCACTTCACATGCAGCTCCCTAATTATGGCTCAGGATAGCAGTGGAGAATGACCCAAAGCCGTGGGACCTTGCACCCACATGAAAGAAGCTCTTGGCTCCTGGCTTCGGACTGGACCAGCTCTGACTATTATGGCCATTTGGAGAGTGAACCACCAGATGGGAGACTTTTCTGTCTCTCCTTCTCTTTGAAATCTGCTTGTCCAATAAAAATAAATCTTCCAAAAAATTACATGAGGGCTCGGTATGGTAGCCTAGTGACTAAAGTCCTCACTTTACATGTGCCAGGATCCCATATGAGAGCTGGTTTGTGTCCCAGCAGCCCTGCTTCCCATATAGCTCCCTGCTTGTGGTCTGAGAAAGCAGTAGAGGATACCCAAAACTTTGGGACTCTACCCACATCGAGACCTGGAAGAGGTTTCTAGGTCCTAGCTCTGGATTGGCTCAGCTCCAGCTGTTGATACCACTCGACGAGTGAACCAGTGGAATGAAGATCTTTCTCTCTGTTTCTCTTTCTCTCTGTATTACTGTCTTCCCAATAAAAATAAATCTTTAAAAAATTACATGCAACAAAATGTATTTTGTGGTGTATAATTTTATAGGCTTTGAAAAACACACAGAATTCTAAGTTGACCACCAGAGTTTCATAAAGAATATTCCTCATGTTTCATTTTTTACATGGCCCAAGCATTTTCACCAGCAACCAGGAGGTGGCAGTGTTTCTCTCCAAAAAGCAGTTTCAATAAGCCGTCTGCTCTTAAAGTGAAAGAACTTGAAGAAGTGTAGCCCATCCTGGACAGCTCATAAGCCACTTCGGGTCACAGAGGGGCTAGAAGATAAAGTTTCTTCTTTCCTAAAATGGGTTAAGTTTGGCTGGCAGTCTCAGAATTTCACACTGCAACTAAGTGGGATGATCCACCAAACAGTATTTAAGAAGGCAACCCATAACTATGCTTTGATAAAATAAATGTTTACAGTGAGAGCAACTGAAGAAGACAAGAAAAACGGAGGCTGTAGTGAAAGCAGACTGAAGATGATCACAGAAAATCCTCAATATTTGGTATTGGTGGCCGGGAAGGATCCCTGTAAGAGGAAACTACATAACCCAAGCACACACAGGGCAGCGTGAGGTACACCGCTGTCAGTGAAAGAGGAGGTCAGAGGCCGGAAAGCTGACAAACTCGGCAACATTTCCAGTGCCTTGCTCTGGCATTTGTGTAGCATCTAGTAAAACAAAGGGTGTGCCAACAAGCCCACAGCTGTGCCATGCGGTGCACACGTGACCTGTCGGCCTTCTCTCTGTATCTGACACGTCTCCACAAGTGACTTCGGCCCACTGACTCTATTATCTTTGTGCCAACGACTCCACAAACTATTTGCGAACAGGACTTACCACTTCTGTTCCAATCGTATAAACTTTGCTGATGTAGATCTCCCAAGTGTCCTTGTCATGCACCTCAAACTTAGAACTGCCAAGGTCAACCTTTGGCCCCATCCTGCCTGACATTCATTTTCCTGTGTTATCACTATTTTTTTAATTAAAAATATTTATTATTATTTTCCACCTGCTGGTTCACTCCCCAAATGGCTGCAGTGGCTAGGGCTGAGCAGGGCCGAAGCCAGCAGCTTCTTGTGGGTCTTCCACTTGAGTGGCAGGGGCTCAAGTCCCTGGGTCACCTTATGCTCCTTTGCCAGATATGTGAGCAGAGAGCTAGATCAGAAGTGAAGCAGCTGGAACTTGAACTGGTGCCCACAGGCGATGCCTGCATCACAGGTGGCAGCTTAACCCACTGTACCACAACAGCAGCCCAGGTCATTACACTTAATCCAAACCCTCAATTTCAACTTCCGGTGTGGCCCAATACTCAGCATGTTACTCCTCGCAGAAGGTCAGCTCCCTCCACGACATCCCCTGCTCCTTCCCTCTCCTGCAGATCCTCACACCTCCCTTCTAGGTGACTTGTCCACTTTCTCTAACCTAATGCATCCTACAAATCTACCTTTCGTATTAATCAATCTCATTAGAATTTGGTGTATTGATGTCACTTTATACTCAGGAATCTTAAAAAGCTTCCCAACAAATCCAAAACTTTTCATCAACCTAGACACAGACTTACAAGCATGCCTAGTCCCGAGTACACTGTGTGGTATCACATTCAGAAGACCTCTTGCTTCATGCTTTCTCATCCAAACCTCCTGTTTCCTGTCATCTTCCCCTTTAAGGAACTAGTGGCGTGTATTAATCGCAGTTAATGCCTGAGTGTTAGCGGGTCTTGCCACATAGTGCCTGTGCATTCACTCACACTCTAACATCATTCCTGTTCTGACCACCTAGTCTGGGAGGTGCTTGGCTGCAAGAACCTCATAATCATTTTGAGTATACAGGATAGGACTTGGCCTACAGAGTAGACTAGGAAAATGAGGAACCCCACGGCACAAGCACTGGGGCTAAAGGTGAAGTGATGGGCGAGCAGTGGAGAGTCTGAGAGCCAGCAGCAACACTCACCCTTCCGGTTCATCCCCATCTGCAGGCATTTCAGCAGACGGCAGTACTGGCACCTGTTCCTCTGCTTCCGAGACATGACACAGTTCTTGTCACGACTGCATCGATATACCCGTTTGTTGCAAATGCTCCGCTTGAAAAACCCTTTGCAACCTTCGCAGGAGATGATTCCATAGTGCAAGCCTGTAGCGCGGTCCCCACAAATGAGGCAGGTTCGTTGTTCAGCCCGATCATCTGGAACAGAAACTGAACATGTTCAAGTTAGAGCCTGTAATTCCTAAAACAAGTAATCCTGCAGCGGATACAGAAAGAGAAAGCCACATGAAGACAGGGGCAGAAACTGGTCACAACTTGAGGAAAGCTTAGGAGGCAAAGAAAGGGGTGTTCTCCAGAGCTTCTGGGTTGAGTGTGATTGCTCAACCTTCATTTCTAACCGATTCTTGCTATTAGAAGAACGAACCTCTGCTGTGTGGAAGCTCCAAGTTAGTGATCTGTAAGTAGAACAAGAAACTAACACCCTTTTGGTTCTTGGTCCAGAAAGGGAAATGGACACATTAACATTCATCCAAAGTTACGCGGTAACTGCACAGACAGCTGCGGTCACTCAGCAAGTGCCAAGAGCCGCTAGGAGACTAATGACCAGCAGAAGGGAAGACGACGAACATGGCAGCGGAATGGCCTCGGTGCTGAGGACTCCGCAGTCCCTGGTTACAGACTTCCTAAAGCTCAGCTGCACTTGCCAAACGTCAGTCCACAGCAACAGACACACACCCAGTAACACATTCTTGCATTAGTGTCCTCCTCCTCTTTCTTCTTCAGTGAACTTAGATGAAACTACTGCATCTTGGCGGGGAAGGCTACTCTACTGGATCTTCGCTGGGGCATGCCTTTTATCTTTTTTGTTTGAAAACACGGGAAGCTCAAGCTGAACATGAGAACAACATGATAGTAACAAATAAAAAAATTAAAATCAAACAAGGCCCTAAAGCCAAAAAGGAAAAAAAAAAAAATGGCACGCAAACAGCAGACAGGATTTCCTAGAGCACTGGGTGTGAACGGCTGCAGTCTCAGGAATACAGCATGGAACAGTGTCTGGAAATCATGCCCAGTACCCAAGGATATGTGTTCTAATGTTAAATGAAAACTCCCAATATTCTATCAGATAGTAGATAAAGTAAAGTTTTACTAAAATAGATATAAGAAAAACAACCATTTAATCACTACCCCCAAGGTCCACATTTTTTTTTTCTTCATTTTTAAGACTTCATCTACTACAACTAGGCAGGCTTTACTTCATGGATTCCTGTAATCCTTAAAATCACAGGTGAGGGGCTGAGGCATTTCATGTAACAAACATCACCGCTCCATCTGAGCATTTGTTTGAGTTTCCATCCCTCGACTTCTGAGCTAACTCACTGCTGGCTCGCCTGGCCAAAACAGCAAAAAAGCCTCAAGGGCTCAGGCCCCTGCCTGCCCAAGCAGGAGATCCAGCTGAGGCTCCTTGCTCCTGATTCCAGCCGGGCCCAGCCCAGGCACTTGAGGCTGCTTAGGAAGTAAATCATTGGCTATAGACTGTTCTGCACCCCCCGCCCCCGCCTTTCAAACAAACAAATCTTAAAAACAACAACGAAACATAACAACAAAAATTTTACAAATGAATAAAACTCTAATTGTAAAGAAGAAACTGGAGGTCTGAGATGTTGATAAAGAACCAGGGCCAGAGAAGCAGGGGTTTCAGATGAGACGAGACCAATGAGGAAAGGTGACCTCTCCCAAGTCAGAGGAGAGTTGGTGGAGTTGGACAAAAATCCAAGCATAAACCGCAGAGACCAGCGATCTATTACACTTTTACTGTCTCTCCTTCTCTCTCTGTAAAAATCTGCCTTTGAAATAAAAATAAGTAAATCTTGAAAAGCAAATTGAGAGTAGATCCAGGTTCAGCGAGGGTCTCTATGAACATACGTCAGTTTTTAGAGGCAGAAATGTTAAATTCAAAGGAAAATATAAAAAGAATGAATAAAGTAGCTGATGTGGGTTCATCCAGAAGACTACTAATGATGTGAACTAGTCCAGAGCCCCAGAAGCATCTTTTCAGAGCACCACGGACACGTGTCTGCTGAAATAAATGGATGTTGCCATCTCCAAACCATTTAACAGTAACAAAAACAAGAACAAAAAGATGCACGAATAAATCTCATTATTCATCTGACTAGGATTTTACTCTAAGAATCTAAGTGCTGGAGCAGCTTACACTGGCACCTGTGTGTGCCGGAATCCCAATACTGGAGCACTGGTTTCAGTCCCACGTCCTGCTTCTGACCCAGCTCCCTACCAGTGTGACCAGGAAGGCAGTGGATGATGGTTCAGGTGCTTGGGACCCCGCACACTCACGTGGGAGACAAGCATGAGTGCCACCCAGACTCCTGCTTTTGACGATGCCCATCTGTAAAGGAGCAAGACATGCAGAAAAAGGGAGACAGGGAGAGGGGATAAAGAGCTTTCATCAGCTGATGTGCTCACTGAAAACCAACAGCCAGGGCTGTGCCAGGCCAAAGCCAGCAGCCCATGTGGGTGGCTCAGATCCAAGTACCTGAGCTGTCACCTGCAGCCTCCCAGGGTTTGTGTTGTCAGACGCTGAAATACACACTGGCACTGCACTTCAAACCGAACGCTCTTCTATGCAATGCTGGCTCTCTAGGTGGCAACTTATCTACTGTACCAATGTCTACCTTCTGACTACATTTTGTGTAACACTGCTGGTTTGAAAGTGGCCTAATTCCTACGCATCTTGCAGCTAAGTCTCAAAGATGCTAACAGTAACATTGGGCCTTCTTGTTGTGGAGAAGACATACATTATACACATTGTATATAATACATACACATTATATACATTGTTGAATTAATGAATGACCAACACTAACTGAGACTTTAAAAAAAGCAGCAACAAGAAATATCAAATATTACATATAGTAAGGATAACATATTCTCCAGTTTTTCAAATTTAATTTTTACTTTTGTTAATTTTTACTTTTGTTTATGTAATGGAGAGGAATGCATGTCCATGTGGGTCTCTGATTAAAGGGGGGAGAACTGAGGTATGGAGGAAGGTGGGTGGGACAAATAGTTCACCTTTTTTTGGTTCTCCTCTGTGTACAAAATGGAGGAAAGGGAGAAGAAGCACTTGCTGTCAAACTACATCAGCACCCGGGGATACAGTCATCTTATGATGCCTCAGAGACCCCAACGCGAGGAAGACTTTCTGAGGGTGTTATCTGAGTGGTTTTGATATATCTGAGATGGTGTCAAATTTGTTGCATCAGGGTTGAGGAAATCTTTCCATGGTCCACTGGCTGACCAAGTCCACCTCACTGTGCATTCATAGATGCAGGAACATACTGCAAAGCCCGGGCAGAGGTGCTCCAGCTCCATTCTCTGACGAGGCATTAGTTGTCCTCCGCTGGCCTGGATGAGCTGGCTGCCATGTTCCTCATGGGAACCTGGGTAAGCTGTTCACTGCACAGGCATCAGCAAATGAGGAAGTCCAGTCCCAACACATGCACTCCAAGGCTGGACCACAGACATCGTGATTTTCCCTGTGGCTTGGATTTGAGATCAGCAGTTTAGCTGAGGAGTCCCCCAAAAAACTCTGCCTGGGATGACTATGACAGGACTCCTCTCTGCACCAGCCAGTGCAGCGTCAGGTTCGGACCATGCATCACCTGCACCGGCTCCATTTCTCATGTGTAATGGTGGGTGTTGTGGCCTAGTTCAGTCCAGCTGCCACAGGTTTGTTCTTTATGCACACCATAGGGGCCACAGCCTAGTTGGGGAGACCCCCAATAACCTCCTTCAGGCCCGACTCCAGCCACAGGTTTTGCATGTGCTGCCATGCTCAGCATCCTTGCCTGGTCTGTTCTGCATCCCATCGAGGTTTTGTGTATACCCAAGAGTGCTGCAGCTTACCTCAGTCTATCCCACCCCCATATCTGGCCCACACGTCTGCTGATGGGTGCTGCTACCTTGACCAGCCTGAGGTGCGTGGCATCCCTATGGATGCCAACTGTAGTCTCAACTCCTCTACTTCCAATCCAGTTTCCTGCTTATGGCCTGGGAAAATAGTGGAGGATGTGCCAAAATCTTGGGATCCTGTACCCTATGTTGGAGACCCAGTAGAAGCTTCTGGCTTCAGATAGAAGCCAGATGGAAGATCTCTCTCTCCCCCCGCCCCCTCTCTTCTTCTCTCTGTAAATATGCCTTCTGAATGAATTAATGAATAGATGGATAAATACATTTTAAAAAGAAAACAGAAACAAAAAAAGTGCCAAAATAATGTCATATCAAAGACATTAATTCCAAAACTATAAAAGAGATAAGGAAGGTCACTATTAACTGGTCAGTCAGTTCAATAATGAAAAAACAAGACTTGAAAATATATCTGTACCCAAGAGTGGAATCCTCAAATATATACAGCAAACATTACTAGCTCCAAAGTGACAAGACTCTAACACAACAATTCTCAGGGGCTTCTGTGTTCTACTTATATCACTGGACAGGTCATCTAGACCAAAAACAATAAAACAAAAAACCCCAAACAACTGAGAGTTAAGTTATATAATAGGTCAAAGGAAACTAGCATCTGGCCACAATTGCAGAACTCATTCTCCTAGGACATGAGTAGATGGAATATTCTCTGGGGCAGACCACATCCTAGAATACAAATAATGTGTCAAAAAAAAAAATTGAAATGATACCAGGTACTTCTCTTACCATAATCAATAACAAAAAGAACTATTATGGTATGGTTTAGATGATAGTTTGGGTGAAAGACAAATGCACATGTATTAGGGGTTTCATTCCAAAAGTCTAACAGCTAATGGCTTAAGGGTGAAAAACTAACTTCAGCTGGGCTATGTGGAGGTGGGGTTTGGGGAAAGTGGTAAGGCTGGATTTCACTGCTGGAGTGAAGTCCCCCTGGTCAGTCACACTGGCTCTGTCACTGCAGCCCACACAGACACAGACACGGGACTCCCGTGCCTCCGGTCCTTCTGGATGTGCCATGTGATTCTGACCCTATGCTGTGAACCTCCACTCCCATAATCTGAAATAAAGTTTTCTTTATGTGTAACTAGTTTCAGGAATTTGCTATAGTGATGAAAAGCTCACTAAAGGAGAGACTTAAGCAAATGGGAAAATTATAGCAATAATTACCTATATCACAGAAATTAGAAAGAACT